TGTGCGTGTGTGTACGTGTGTCTGTGTGTGTGTGTGTGTGTGTGTGTGTGTGTGTGTGTGTGTGTGTGTGTGGCGTGGTGAAGGCTGACGAACCTGTTGCTCGCTGGTGCGATGGTGGAGGTTGGAAGCACTGGCGAGCTGGGGGAAACAAAACAACACCAGCAACAAGAAGGCAGCAACAAGGCAACGAGAACAAAACAGCGCACTCTCTGTCTGGTTGTTGGTTGTGAAGGAGCGGGCAAAAGGCGGTTGCGGATTGGCTTGCACAAATGCGCCGAATCGTATATTTGGAATGAGGCTGGTAAAAGAGTGAAAATTCACATTTGGCAGCCAGGAGCAAATTCAGCAATTTTTTGCATTTGGGCATCCACCGCAAAGCAAACGCCACACAACCAACCACACGCACACACGTGGTCCTTGCTGCACGAGACGTGCTCGCGAACACAACAGCAGCAGACGCACACACACACACACACACACACGCACACACATACATCGACATCCACACACACACACACACACATACATCGACATCCACACACACACACACACACACACACACACACACACACACACACACACACACACACACAACACAGCGATGCCTCCCCGGAGGAAGCAGAGGGCGACCAAGGCGGCCAGTGGTGGCGCTGGTGCAGGCAGCAAGAAGCGCCGCGCTGAGGAAGCAGCAAAGGGAAGCACAGCCGCGGCCGAGGCGCAGGAAGATGAGCTGCTGGAGCTCGGCGACAACCTGGAGCTGCAGCAGAACGACAGCGACAGCAACGACGACAGTAGCTCAGGCGCAGACGAGGACATCCCCGTTGATGAGGACGTGGATGAGGCCATGATGGCACTTGCTGCACAGGATGACGAGCATGAGGATGATGAGCATGACGGGGAAGGGAATGACGATGATGACGATGAGGAGAGCGATGATGAAGAGCTGGCGTTTGCCATGGATGACGTTACAGCAACCTCAGACGAAGACGAACACCCGCAGCAGTCTCGTGCCACCAAATCCAAGAAGACCACCACCAACAACAAGCACAACGCCAAGAACGGCAACACCAAGCAGAAGCCAGGCAAGAACAAAGCCCGTAGCGTGGCTCCACCCCACCCTGACAATGACTCTGCTGCGCTCAAGAACTTTGGCGACCTGTTCAGCTCAATGGTACAAGGGAAGGTGAAGCCGGGGAGGAAAGGTGTGCAAATGCGTGACGAAGACGGCGAGGACGATGCGCACGCGCCAACACAGGCCAAGCAGAAGCGAAGGCGCCAGCGCACGAAGGCATCAGCAGCCGCTGCACAGACGGCCGGTGCCGATGACAGCGATGCGGATGCCGACGATGAGCTGGACGAGCGCCCCGATATGGGCAGCGACGTTGATGATGATGATGACGGAGCAGTGGACATGGAGGTGACGACAGCCGGCGGGGCGAGCGCAACCAGCAACACCGCCACCAACGGCGACGACGATGAGGGCCCATCCGAGCGCATCCTGGAGTGGATGGGCCGCGCGCCGCGCTACGAGGTGGTTGACGTGAAGGAGTACATGGAGAAGCTCAAGACGCTGCAGCAGGACTCTGAGGATGAGCAATTTGGTGGTCCCGCCGAGGGCTCCAACGACGAGTACGATGCAGACGAGTTCAAGCCCGCCCGCCGCGTGTATGATGTGGAGAGCCGCGAGCTGCGCAGCCTGTCGGACATTTTCTCCAAAGCGCCGGACAGCGAGCAGTACCTGCGGGAGAAGCAGGAGCGCCACGAGCGCATCCAGCAGCGCATGCGTGAGCTGCAGAGCCGCAAGCCCATGCCCGTTGCCAGCTCTGACTCTGACACGTCGGATGACGAGCACTCGCGCAACACGGTGGGCAACATCCCCATGGAGTGGTACAAGGACTACGACCACCTCGGCTACGACCGCTCCGGCAAGAAGGTCCAGTGATGCAAGTTGTTGTTGTTGTTGTTGTTGTTGTTGTTGTTGTTGTTGTTGTTGTTGTTGTTGTTGTTGTTGTTGTTGCTGTTGCTATTGCTATTGTATGCGTGTGTGTGTGTGTGTGTGTGTTTGTGCGGGCCTTCAATGGCTTGCGGCGGTGTGTGCGAGTGAGTGAGTGAATGAATGTGTGAGTGTGTTTGTTTCGTGTATGTGTGTGTACCTCCTGCGTTGAGCAAGCCGTGATGATTTTGTTTGTGCGGTTGTGTGTGTGTGTGTGTGTGTGCAGATTTCCAAGTTGGGCAAGGCCAAGGACCGCCTGGACAAGTTCCTCGACAAGATGGAGAATGGCGGACTCGGCAGAACAGGTGCAGTGTGAAATGGGCTGTGTTGTGCCGTTGTGGTGTGTGTGGTGGGGGGGGGGCATGGTGTGTGTGTGGGGGGGGGGGGGCATGGTATGTAGCGTTCGCGCGATGGCCGCGTGCACCAATTGTCCGTGCTCACGCTTCTGTTTCTTGCCTTCCATCCATCAATCCTTCCTTCCTTCCTTCCTTCCTTCCTCGCTTCCTTCCTTCCACCCTTCCGTGTCGCGTGTGCTGCAGTGTACGACCCGACCACTGGCGAAGAGATTGAGCTCTCTGATGACCTCATTGGCCAGATCAAGAAGATCCAGGTGCGCAAAAGCGAGAGGGGAAGCGCTTATTTCTGGCGTGTGCGTGTGTGTGTATGTCTGCGCATCTGCTTGTGAGTGTGCATGTATGGAATGCGACTGAGGCGTGTGGTGCCTGTGGTATTGACCCATTTGTTACGATGGATCGCGTATCCTCACCCTCCATTCACAAACCCGCCACCGCTAATCCCACCTCCTTGTCTCTCTGCTTGTGTGACATGACTCGATCGACAATCAGGCTGGCGAGCTGCCTGGAGAGCAGTACGAGGATTATGTCGACTTTTTCACGTCTGACGTGCAGCGCATGCCTGTGACGGGCCGCCCAGAGCCCAAAAGCCGGTTTATTCCCTCAAAGTGGGAGCACAAGAAGATTATGCACCTCGTGCGCGGTATCCGCAAGGTGCGCACGCGCACACACACATACACACACGCACGCACACATACACATACACAAACGCGGTCGTGCGAAGGAGGGCGTGACTGTGGTTGTTGTGTGGTGTGCTGTCCTGTCTGCGTGTGTGTGCTGTTTTGTGTGCACACTGTTCGTGCATGTGCATGTGCACATGTGTTCGCGTACAATGGCTCACATTATCACTCCACTCCCTGGTGACTGTACCGACGTGGTGCGTGTGTGTATGCAGGGTCGGCTGAAGCCGCTCGGTCCTCCCAAGAAGGAGCCTGAGTTTTACGACCTGTGGGGACAGGAGGATGATTCCTACCGCGCACCGGGCACACACATCCCCGCTCCAAAGCTCGCCCTCCCAGGTGCGCCAGCTCGATCCGTGTTGCTGTTTCGTCATTGTGTTGTGCTTTTGTGCCGTGCTGTCCTTTTTGGTGTATGAGTGTTGTTGTGTGCTGTTGCCAAGACAATCGCCACAACCACCACTAACTGCAATTGCCATCATCATCATCATCATCATCATCATCATCATCATCATCATCATCATCATCATCATCATCATCATCACCATCACCACCACCACCGCCGCCACCACCACTGCTCCGCTGTGTGCTCAGACCACGACGAGTCGTACAACCCTCCGCCAGAGTATCTGCCCACGGACGAGCAGCGCGCCCGCTGGGAGAAGACGCCGGTAGCCGACCGCCGCAAGTACTTTATGCCAACAAAGTCAGTCGCACGTCGAGTGTGTGTTGGGGATTTTGCATGCTTCGCAGTCCCTTGCGTACGTTTGTGTGTGTGTGTCTGTGTGTGTCTGTGTGTGTCTGTGTGTGTCTGTGTTTCGTGGTTCTGACGTGACCGTCCAAATGGCCAGCCAACACTCACCATCCTCCACAACCACCAACACCACCACTGCCTACCAACACAATCCCCGCCAGGTTCTCGTCGCTTCGGCTTGTGCCGGCGTACAACATGTTCCTGCGGGAGCGGTTTGAGCGCTGCCTCGACCTCTACCTCTGCCCGCGCACACGGAAAGTCAGGGTAAGCCCATCTTCAGTGCCCCTGGTGTGTGCGTGTGTGTGATGAATGATATGAACATGTAGAGCGTGTTGAAGCGTGGAACATCTTTGCTTGCGGCGCTGGTACCGGCCCTGTCTCTCCACCCATTTGCTCGTCACACTCACGCACTATCCATCATGCGTCTTGTTGTTTTGTGCTTCGCGTGCACACATGCGCACGTGAGCAGCAAACGAACGTGAATGCGCAGGCGCTGCTGCCCAAATTGCCAGATCCAAAGGACCTCCAGCCCTTCCCAACAGCCCACTCGCTGGTACGATCGAACACCTCGCTACTCAACATGCATCCCCATACTCTTCTGTTGCTCCGTGTTATGGTCCTTGTTGCTTCTCGTGTGCTTCTGTGATGTATGAATGTACTTTTGTGAGTGTGAATGTGGATGCCCACTCCACCATATCACACACACGCGCGCGCACGCGCGCGTGCACGCTTTAGCTGTTTACATGCCCTCACATCCCCTCTATCTTTTCCCCTCCCCCTCCCTTCCCCTGCAGTCGTTCCTTGGCCACACGGACATTGTGACGTGTCTGAGCGTGGACCCGACCGGCCAGTGGCTCTTCTCGGGCTCTGAGGACGGCACCCTGCGCATGTGGGAGATTGCCACGGGCAGATGTGCCAAGGTCCGTGTTGGCTCACACGTTTGTGTTGTGTTGTGTGTGTGTGTGTGCGTGTGCGTGTGCGTGAGTGTGTGTGTGTGTGCGTGGGAGGGTGGATGCATGTCTATGTGTATGCCCCGTGTGTGTACAGAATGGTGTGTGTGTGTGTGTTTGTTACAAAGAAGATATGCTACTTGTGTGCTGTGCAATCGCCCCTTCACGTGCAATGCGTACACGGCTTCATGCTCCTTGCTGCACGTGGTGGCAGGTGCTCGACTTGAAGGAGCCTGTGTTGGCGGTGGCCGCCAATCCAAACCCGCAACTCTCACTCGTCGCCGTCGCGGCAAAGAACAAGTCAGTGTTGCACGTGCATCAGCAACACGCATACTTGCACATCACACACCACACAGACGCACGCGCGCGCACACAAACACGCACAATCACACACCCATTCACGCACACGTGCCTGCGCCGTGCAGTCTGTACATTGTCAACCACGGCCTCTCGTCCAAGGCCATCACGGCGGCCACACAGGAGTTTGCGCCAAAGTGCAAGAAAACTGGAGGTTGGTTGTTGGTAACGCGCTTACTCTTACTTGCACGGGCTTGCACGCTTGGGGAGGTGTATTGCATGTCTGCATGCGGGTGCTCACGCGTGTGTTTATTGTGCGTAAGTTTGTGGAATACATACCCTCGCCCTCGCGTGCGTGCGTGTGCGTGTGTGTGTGTCCGCGTGATTGCTTTGTCGCGTACTGACTCACACGCTGTGTCACACCGTCACCGCAATTGCTCTCCTTCAACCCCATTGCCACTCTGCCCCACCCTCCCCAACACCAGCGAACAAGAACGCGCGCATCACGGTGCGCTGGTACAACGGCGGGAACGGCGTTGCTGATGACACAATTGTGTACACCATCATGCATCGCCTGGACGTCACCAAGCTCACGTGGCACCACCGTGGCAACTACCTCGCAAGCGTAATGCCCGAAGGGACACACGACTGCGTTGCAATTCACAGCATGGGCAAGCAGGCCACGCAGGTGGGCGGCTGCTTGTCTGCTTGTTTGCTTGTTTGTTTGTGTGCATTTGTTTATGTGCATTTGTTTGTGTGTGTGTGTGTGTGTACTTGTTTGTTTGTGTGTGTGTGTACTTGTTTGTTTGTGTATGTGGTTGTTTGTTTGTTTGTGTTCGCGCACCTGTGTATGTGGGCCTGTGTATGTGGACGCGCGTGAGAGTGTCTGTATACTTGCAAGCGTGTGTCCCTCGTTTTCGTAAATGTGTTTGTCCGTGTGCACACATGCGCGTGCGAGAGGAACAAGGCCAGTCGTGCCCCGTCTGCGTTGCATCGCACGATGCGACTGTATTCCGCGCTGACATTGACATCTTCTGTTCACTCACAATACGAGCGCCATGCTGGTTACGTCTGTAGTACCCCTTCCGCAAGAAGAACAACGACATTCAAGATGTGCAGTTTCATCCGAAGCTGCCCGTCTTCTTCGTGGCGGTACGTTGCCGCATGCATTAGTCGCTTGTGTGCGTGTATGTGTATGTGCGTGTTTATGTGTGCGTGTGTGTGTTTGCGTGTACTCGGGCGGTATTGAGCACTTGATTCCGCCCTGCTTCCGTTCGTACCCCTACTGAACACATACACACTCACACTTGACGTACAACAGACGAAGACTCGCGTGCGCATCTACAACCTGCAGACGCAAATGCTTGTGAAAAAGCTGATGACGGGAGTCAAGTGGGTGTCGAGCATGGCTGTTCACCCGGGCGGCGACAATGTCATCATTGGCTCGTACGACCGCCGTCTCGCCTGGTTTGACACAGACCTCTCTACAAAGCCATACAAAACCCTCAGGTGTGGGTCATGCGTCGTGGTGGCGTGCTACAGCCTATGCCCTTGCTCATGCGCGTTTGTGTGTGTGTGTGTGTGTGTGAGTTTGCAAATTGTACGTGTGGATGCGTATGTGTATAATTGGCTATTGTGTGTGTTTGCTTGTTGTGCATGGGTGCACCATAATTCCAATCCAACGCTTACACCCATCATCCTTACAATGCACAGGTACCATCGGTATGCACTGCGCAGCGTCAAGTTCCACCGCCGCTACCCGCTGTTTGCCTCGTGCTCTGATGACGGCTCTGTGCACGTCTTCCACGGCATGGTTTACAACGACCTCCTCCAAAACCCGCTCATCGTCCCCGTCAAGGTCGGTGTGAATGATCGAGCAGCCTTCGTGTGTTTGTGTGTGTGTGTGTGTGTGTGCGTGCGTGTGCGTGTGCATGTGCGTGTGTGCATTGCCCTTCCTCCGTGTTTGTGTGATCACGCCCCTCCCCGTCCATTTCCACAAACTATGCGTACACACACTCACACCCAGTTGATCTTACCAACCCCCCCCCCACCTCCACTCCTGGCTCTCCATTGACAGATTCTCAAGGGCCACGAGAGGGTGAAGGGCCTGGGCGTGCTTGACATTGCCTTCCACCCGCGGCAACCGTGGGTGTTCAGCGCTGGCGCAGATGGTGTCATCAAGCTCTACACGTAATGTGCTCTGCTGTATGTGTGTGTGTGCTCAGGGCATGTGTTTGGCTTTGGTTTGCTACGAGGCTCTGGCTTGTTGGTGCCGAGTGCTTGATCTGGCCGTGAAGCCAGCGGTGTTCTTTGTGCATCCTGGACTGCATGGTCATGCATCAGTAAATGGGAATGCGTACAGACACAGGTGATTGAAGGTGTTTTTGGCCTGGGGTGCTGTGAGTCAGCGCCCACGATACTTTTATGACGGGGGCAGCAGAGCACCACTGCATGAGTTGGGAGACAGACAGCAAGAATGTGGGCGGGGGTGAGGTCAAAGCACACAGGGGGTGTCAAACACAAAATCGATGTGGTTTGCGGGCAAACGCGACGACAAAGACATCAGCCACGTGAGTCATTCATTGAGTGGCTGGGAGACACCAGCGCATGTCAAACATCAGACACAAATGGAGACGACACATCCAGACGGGAAGAAAGACCTTCGCTTCAACACATCAGAAAGCAAGCAAGCACAGTTTTGAACAGAATATCGAGTACCAGCGCACACGAGCTCATCGTTGCTCAGTTGATGTAGTCTGGGATGAGCTGGAGCATCTCCTGCTGCGTGAAGACGTGACCGATGGCGAGCTGCTGGGCGATGGCGGTGGCCATGCCCTCAACATCAATCGTCTGGCCGTTCATCTCAGCGGCGAGGAAGGTGGAGTACAGCTGCGTCGTGAACGGATGCAGACCCTCGGGGAAGTCCTTGCCTGCCGTCGGCTCTGTGAAGCGTGCGTCGTCGTTCTGCCAGATGGGCGCCAGCACCAGGCGGATGACATCGGGGCTCTCCAAAATCGCAAACGAGGACACAAACACGTCCTCCACAAACAGGGTGGACCCATCATCGGTCAGCGGCGTGTAGTAGTCCGGCTCGGTTGTAAAGGTGATGTCCGTGATGGTGACCGTGTACATGACACCGATGTCGGCGTCGTAGCGCAGCAGGCGGTCGCCAACAGCAAAGTCGCCAGTGAAGATAAACTCGCCTGCAGGCTGCATCGTCACGCCGTCAGCGACGTGCACATCCTCGTCCGCGCGGAACACAAAGTGGTCCGGTGTTGCCGACATCAGCGCAGGGTTGCCGTCCTTATCCGTGTAGTGCAGCTCGACAGATGTGGTGGTACCGTTCAGCTCCACGTGCTGGAAGGTCTTGAGCTCGCAGTAGCCGAGGGCGTTACCGGCCGATGCCTGCAGACAAAGCACGCGGTCGCCAGTCTTCAAGTTCCGCAGCTGCACACGCTCGCCGCTCTCCAGAATCACCTCGGCCCAGCCAGGGAAGCACGTGGGGTTGGTGGACGCTGGGTTTGACAACACGACAGGGCATTCAGCACCAGAGCCTTTCAGCCGTGCGCTGCAGCCGTGAGTGAATGTGCCGTTGATTCCACTTTCTACGAAAGTCTGCGTCACGCCAGTCGCGTCGTCCAAGAACACAAAGAAGAATTGTCGACTCGGAATAGTGGATAGAGACCAGAACGCCGCTGCACTGTCTAGGATATTGTCGTATTGGTTGTCGGGCACATCGGAGTAACCAGCACACTTGACCTCCGTACCAACAGGTGCACCGCCATCAATCGTCAGTCGAAGGCCATCACCATAGATTGATTCAAACAAGGACGCCACAGGTGTGCTGATGGTTGGGCAGGTGCTACTTGAAACCTGTGTTGTTGTTGTTGTTGTTGTTGTTGTTGTTGTTGTTGTTGTTGTTGTTGTTGTTGTTGTTGTTGTTGTTGTTGTTGTTGTTGTTGTTGTTGTTGTTGTTGTTGTTGTTGTTGTTGTTGTTGTTGTTGTTGTTGTGGTGGTGGTGGTGGTTGTCGTCGTCGTCGTCGTTGTCGTCGTCGTTGTCGTTGTCGTCGTCGTCGTTGTTGTGGTTGTTGTTGTTGTTGTTGTTGTACCTTCCACAACGCGTATGACTTTGCACCGATGAAAGCGAAGCTTGCACGACTGCAGGGCTGTCACAACCTACCAAGCACGACATACGCGCGCGCGTGTTTGCACGTGCATTTGCGCACATGTGAGTAATGTGTATGTAGTCTGCCATGCAACATGCAACAATGCAATGAAGCGACATTGAACGCAGACAGCGCTCCCTTGCTCTTGTGCAGCGTTCACTCACCGCGTTGTCCCTGGCGGCAACAGAAAACTCGTTACTGGACATGGGCGTCACCGCAGATCCGTCCTTGAGCGACAGTGCACATTCCTTTCACGGAAACAACAGCCAGAACACACATCAGCAGAGCATATGAGATGAATGAAAAACACGAGAGTATCGCTGACTGGGCACACAGCAAGCCGGCGGTAACGAGAAACCACGAACACCAGCACCATGAACACCAACACCACAAACACCGCCAGGGTCACTCACGTCAAGGCCACAGTCGTTCTGAATGGCGCCGCGCAGCTGCTGTGAGAACCTGTCGAGGTGAGCGTCTGTAAACTGGTCCAGCTGCTGCCCACGAAGACACTTGGTTGTCATCACGGCAGCTGTTGTGTAGGTCGTACCGTCGCAAACGCCGGCGTCTCCTGCAGCCACATATGCAACCTGCTGCAGCTTGCACTGCATAAATTCGATCTCGTTGGCGTCCAAGCAGGCCTCGATGCCTTGGACAACCTTGCAAAATAATGGATTCATGTTGGTGTGTTTGAGCGCGTGAGTGCGTGCGTGGATGTGTGCGTGCGTGGCTGAGTGAAAAAAAAAAAAAAGCAACGCGATCGCACAATAACACGCGAGCGCACAGTAAAAGATCGATCATTGACCACGCACAGTTTCATTCTTGACAGCGACGCGAATGGTATCATCCAGGCCAGACACGGGGGTGATGTCAGACCCAGCAGCAGACTTCAGGTCGCACTGTTTATAATGTCAGCGGGGGGGGGGACAGGGTGTGTTGGATGTGCGTCAGTGTGCAGATGCGTGCGTGTTGATCAGCAGCGTGAGAGCGCACGTGAGCGTTATTGTGCTGTTGCACGTGCGTGCAGCAAGCGCATCAGGCCAATGGAAAGCAAAGTAAGCACATGATACTAGCAAGCCACCACGCATCTCCCAACACACGAGCGCAAAATGACGACATACCTGGGCAAGGCCGCATGTGGATGACAGCTGGGAAGCGAGCTTGGTGGCAAGCTTGTTCAAACGGCGTGTGTTGTACTCGTGGATCTTCTGAGAACGAATGCAGCGGAAGGTGAGCTGCGCCTCACCGTCATATGTGGCCGTGTCGCAGGGAGCCGGAGGGATGCCAGCGGAGGCCATGGTGACCGCAAGCGCCATGACGATGCCACAAGCATGGTTGTTGTCATGTTGATGAGAGGAGACCCGGGAGGGGTGTTCTTGAGCATCATCCAGAGCGATCGATCGCGACTAACAAGCAAAGATCGAGGGGAAAATGAACAGAAGAACATAACATAAAGCGGCAAGATAGGCTCGCCTGTTTTCCAATCCTGCGCTGTGTTTTCTGATCGTCTCATTGACGGGTTACACGAATTGCTTTGTAGGCTCAGATTAGTACGTATGGTTTCAAGCAATTTTCCATCAACCCCCACCACACACAACAACCATGTCAGTGGTGCTGAGATGTGTCTCTGTGTTGTGCAGTGTCCGCGGTGCAGTGGTGCGGCGGCAGGGCTTGCACACGGGCAGGCGCGCTGCCATGGCCGTCACCACCCCAGGCGCACAGGAGGCTTTGGTGAAGTGTGACGTGGAGGATCGTGTGGCCACCATCACCTTGAACGACCCCAAGCGCCTCAACGCGCTCACAGGTGTGTGTGTGTGTGTTTGTGTGTGTGTGTTTGTGTGTTTGTGTGTATGTGTGTTTGTGTGTTTGTGTATGTGTATGTGTATGTGTATGTGTATGTGTGTATGTGTGTGTGTTTGTGTGTTTGTGTGTATGTGTATGTGTATGTGTATGTGTGTGTGTGTGTGTGTTTGTGTGTTTGTGTTTGTGTGTATGTGTATGTGTTTGTGTTTGTGTTTGTGTTTGTGTGTGTGTGTGTGTTTGTGTTTGTGTGTGTGTGTGTGTGTGTTTGTGTGTGTGTTTGTGTGTGTGTGTGTGTGTCAAATGTGCCAATACATCAGTGAGGGATTTCGCTGTTTGTGTTCTCGCGTTGTTGACACCACCATGGCGTGACTGCTGTCGCTTTGCAGAGGCCATGGGAGACGAGCTCGTGCAAGTTGTGGAGCAGCTGCAGACGAACACGTCAGTACAACAAGACGAGTGCAGACATGCTTTCGACCTCATACACCCAAACGAATCCGGCTTTCTCAGACACACGCACGTACGCACACACGCGAACGCACACACACGCACACGAATGCACGGTTATGTACACTTGACGTCGTGTCATGTCATGTCACCCCCTTCCAAATGCGTCTTGTCAGGGATGTCCGTGCGGTCGTGCTGACTGGTGCTGGCAACGCCTTCAGTGCAGGCGGCGATTTGAACTTTTTGCAAGCGCGTATTGACACGCCAAGCAAGCACGCCAACAACCGCACCATGCGCAACTTCTATGCCCGATTTCTCTGCATTCGCAAGCTGAATGTCCCCGTCATCGCCGCCGTCAATGGGTTTGTGTGTGTGTGTGTGTGTGTGTGTGTGTGTGTGTGTGTGCTTGTTCGTGTGCGTGCGTGGGCTTGTTCGTGTGCGTGTTCGTTGAACGAGGCCATCACTGTTCGGTGTAGTTACCTGCCTGCCCCCTTCTCCACCTCAATCAACATGCTGCTGTTGATTCACTTGCGTATCATCCCTGTAGCGCGGCTGTCGGTGCCGGGTTGTGTTTGGCCACAGCATGCGACCTTCGTGTCGCACACACGTGCGCCAAGATGGGCTACACGTTTGCAAAGCTTGGCCTCCACCCGGGCATGGCGGCCACACATTTCGCATCACAGGTGTGTCACTCGCTGTGCACTTGCTTGTGTGTATGTATGTGTATGTGTGTGTGTGTGTGTTATTCACCAAAGACGCCCAAGCTCAACCCATGTTGTGTTGCTGGCGCTACCCTGTCCTCACCATCACTATCATCACCTTGAGTCAGGTCATGGGACCACAGATGGCTGCGCAGATGCTGCTCACGGGCGAGGTTCGTCAGTGCGCGTGCGTGCGTGCGTGCCTGTGTGTGTGTGTGTGCAGGTGAAGTCATCATTTGCTGTGACGGAGCACCTGTGCCTCTGAGCGAGCTCACCACCACTACCACCACTACCACCACCACCACCACCACCACAATAACCATCACCACCATCGACCAGTTGATTGACGGGTCGGTTGCGATGCAGCGGGGCCTCGTTGTCGATGTTGCCAACACCCCTGATGGCGCTGTTCGCAAGGCCACCGCACTTGCACGCGATATTGCGCAATCCAGCCCCGTCGCAGTCCAGGAGTGCGTCAAGTCACTCAGGTGTGCGTATGTGCGTGTATGTGTGTGTGTGCGTGTGTGTTGTTTGTTTGTGTGTTCATCTTAGTTTTGGTTTGTTTGTTTGTTTGTGTGTTCTGCCTTGTTGTATGTTGTGTGTGCCTTCGTGCGTGGCAGTCTGAGCTGGATGCACAACGCACTGTTCACACACACACACACTCTCTCTCTCTCCCAAACACACACGCTCTCTTTCCAAAACACACACTCTCTTTCCCAAACACACACACAATCCAACAAAATAAAACGACAGGGTGCGGCAGGATGCTGGGCTTGAGGACGCGTTGGCGCGAGAGGCGCATGCACAGAGCATTTCCTACGCGTCACAAGACATTGTCGAAGGCATTGCGGTGCGTGCACGCATGAACACGCCGTGTGAGGAGTTACCAGTGTGTGTGTGTATGTGTGTGACATATGTTTGTGTGGGTGTGCATGTGTGCGTGTGCGCTTGCATGTGCATTTGCTTGGGAGTCCTGTGTCGCGTTTGACGAGCACCCTTCACGCGTCCGTTGAATACGCGTCTCATCTTCGTGTGTATCCACTGCCACTGCGCAGGCTGTCAAGGAGAAGCGAAAGCCGGCGTTCTAAAGGCGCAGCCACAATAGCAACACCACCGCCACCACAATCACTCTCCATACACCCTTCCTACCGCCATTTTCCAGACGACAAGAACCACCACTTCATTCACCCTGTCACTAGCACCTGTCCGTCTTAGTTCTGCATGCGCCACCACGCTGCAGACGCTCAGCATACCTGTGTGCGTGTAGATGTACGTGTGTGATTGTGTGTTGGTGTAGATGTACGTGTATGATTGTGTGTTGGTGTAGATGTACGTGTGTGTCGTCGCCTTGTGCACATGCATGCGTGCGTGTGGTGCGCGTGAAAAGTACACATCGCTACAACGCCTCCGCCGCAACACGGATGAATACTTGTTTGCAGTGGTTGCACGCGTTTTAACGCTGATGTGACAGCAGGGATGCCTTTGTGGGGCGGGGCGGGGAGGAGGAACAAACACACACACACACACACACACACACACACACACACACACACACACACACACACACACAAGAGTGTACGTCATATGTCAATGCTGCCATCACTGTCATCGTAGTTGGTGTCCATGTACACTTGCACGTCCGGCTCATCATCATCATCATCATCATCATCATCATCATCATCATCATCATCATCATCATCTCCATCCTCCTCGTCATCATCATCATCATCATCATCATCATCATCTCCATCCTCCTCGTCATCATCATCATCATCATCATCATCATCATCTCCACTGTCGTCATCACCCTCGTCATCAGTCTTGTGTGTGTCTTGCTGCTGCTGCTGCTGCTTGTTCGTGTCCGTTGCGTTTTCACTGCGCTCGGCACTTGATGCTGTGTTTTCGTCCTTCTCCTCTCCCTTCGCGCCACCGCCGCTACCACCACTGCGGCCAGTATCTGGCATCATCCTTGGGGCGTGCCCATCACCATTACCGTGACCACCATCACCCACATCTCTCTCAACAGTGCTTGCATGCAACGCACATGTCAGCGATGACAGCAGGAGCGGCACAACGGCTGTCCACGATCCCGCGGCCGTTGTTGCTGACGCCGTCGCTGTTGTTGCTGCTGCTGCTGCTGAGAGGCCCATTGTTGCCGGTGTTCGCGTTCGCGTTTGTGTTTCTGTTGGCGTTCGCTCGTTTGATGCTACAACCTCCAAAGCCGCTGTTGCTGGTTTCGCTGTTGTCGTTGTCGTCGTTGTTGTCGTGGGTGATGCCAGCAGAGCCGCCAGTCGGCTTGCGGCCGGCACATCCGCCCACAAATATCGCCCCGGCTTTCCTTCGCTGCCGTGATCACGGCCACCACCGTCGTGGCGTGCGTGGTGATGTGGATGTTTTCTCCTGTGCCGCGCGCCGCTGTCCTTGAGGGTGGACGACCGGACCGCCAATCGCACCTGTCGTCCCATCTCCTCAACCTGACGCGAAGGGGGGGGGGGGGGGGGAGGGAAGGGCGTGTGTATGTTTTTTGTTGTGTGTGTGTGTGTGTTTTGTGTGTGTGTGTGTTTGCGTGTGTTGAAAGCAAAGGTGAGGTTGTGCTGCAAGAACGCTGTCTTCCTTGTTCCAGGCACACAGATCACAACATCACGCAAATACATGACATCACCTCTATCACACCAGCACCACCCGCACCAACAGCACCAAAGCGAACGTACGTCACCAACAACGAGGCTGATGTATCGAGATGCGGACATGCGTGTGAGTTCCTGGTTGAGACCAAACGCCTTCCACAGCGCGCGATACTGGTCATCCAAGCTCGCCATCTCCGCACTGCTCATCTTGGCACGCTTCGTCGCACCCGCGCTCATGCGGGATGTGGCGGCTGCTGGCGACGATGATGATGATGGCGATGATGCCAGCGTGGCTGTGGTTGACTGCCGTGGTGGTGTGTGCGCAGCTTTTGCTCGGGTTGGGGACCCAGCCAGCAGCAATGATGACGATGATGATGCTGCTGAATGGGATGCTATGGCTGCTGTGCTGCTGGCGCCTGTGGTGTGGGCCTTCTTCTTGAAGTTGCTCGCATCGACCATGAAGAATGACTGAACAGTGATAAAGGGCACAAAACAGGAGGGACAGGGGTGCAAAGTGGTGTGTGAGTGTGTGTGTGTGAGTGAGTGTGAGCGTGTGTGGGTGAGCGTGTGTGTGTGAGCGCGCGCGCGTGTGTGTCGTGGTGTAACGGAGAAAAGAAAGCGGGCAGGAGGAGGAGGGGTGTTCGTGCCATGCAGTTGTGGTTCACCAACACGGGCAAGCACACGTGTCGGCAGTACCGAAGGCAGTTTGGTGCACAAGGCACAGCCCAAGCGTGCAGGAAGACAGAGACAGACAGACAGACACAAACACAACAAACACAACAAACACAACAAACAAAACCCAACAAACACCAAGCAGCGGCACCTCGTGTTCGCCGCGGAGAAGATAGAGCCACTGGTGCGCGCGAAACCAATACACACATGCGGGGAAATCGCCGTCCTGCTCATCAAGCAGCAGCTTGTGCACAGAGGTCTCAACTGGTGGTGATGGTGGTGGCGGGGTCGAGAGGGTGTGTGAGCGTGTGCGTTGGCGCATTGTTATGTGCATATGTGTGTGTGTAGTGTAGTGTGCGTGCGTGTATACAAGTGTGCGTGTGTGTATTGGATGAGTGGTTGTGTGGGAAACGTCATGCATGTGCGTGTGTGCGTGTGAATGAACGGGGGAAAGCACATCGTGGGTGCAGAGTTGAAGCGGCAGCAATGTGCACGGCTGCAGCAGTGTGTGAAAGCAACGTGCATGTCACACGAATGGTCGTTGCGTTGACTCGCATGCATGTACAACTCACGTTTCGTCTCAAAGTTTGCGCCCTCTGTCGGCTTGATGTATTGCGAGTGCATCAGCTGTTGAGAAGGGATGGTAGGGGGTGTTGTGAGCGAGAGCGAAACATTCGCACACGCGGTGAGTGGTGGCACAGGCAGCGCCACTCGAACGTGCACATGCGCGCATGAGAAACCAAACGTCGCACTCATGTTCACAGGTTCTCAATCACGTGTGCACGTGATAACCACGTGAACATCATCACCACTAGCAGCAACACCACCAATGCTACCAGCACCACGACGGCGACTACCACGACCACGACGACCACCACCACCAGCACAGCGTACCGAGTCGCATATGTCGTCGATGGAGCCGAGTGCGGCCGGGAGGCGGGCGAGGGCATCGACGACGAGCCAGTGCAGCGTTGCTGCCGCCGGTCGCGCCTTGGCCAGCAGGAACGGACCACGCGCTTTGGGCGCATCCTGTCACGTGTGTGTGTGTGTGTGCGTGTGTGTGTGCGTGTGTGTGTGTGTGTGTGTGTGTGTGTGTGTGTGTGTGTGTGTGTGTGTGTGTGTGTGTGTGTGTGTGTGTGTGTGTGGGCGGGGAGGGGGTGGAGGAGAAGTGGAGAGCACAAGGGGAGAGGACAGGGTGTAAGACGCCTTCTGCGACAGTTTAAAGCTGAAAGCCATGTGACCACTACGTACACTCATACAATGCTTCATGTTATTGTTATCTTTGTTTGCCTTTTTGCGTACAGACGCGGCAAGGGTCGTAGCGGCAACGAGTTTGGCCCTCTCACAGATCTGCCAGACTGGAGCTACGCAGGTTAGCGTGTGCGCGTGTGCGTGCATGTGCTTGAAGTTGTGCTTCTTCAACACCTCATGTGCTCATACACGACTCCG